AACAGTTCAAGGATAGTTTATCTCGAGGCAAATTCATTAAGCTCGAGTTTTATTTTGTACTTGGAATGACTAGATCAGTGGAAAAGCTAATTTGCTTTTAGGTGTGTGCAGATATGGTGGCTACATTATGTTATTAATTTTGACTACAAAGTAAATGGGTTGTTCCTACAACACAAAGATAATTGAGTAAATAAAGTTGTTATAGTACACATAGTTAAGTGGACACACCACCAATTAAAAGCCTGTCTAAAAGGGTGTTCATCTCTGTGTGGTTTTGACAGAAAAATATTCAGAACTGGATGGAACAAGCTGCAGTTTTGATAGCTTTGTTTATAGGTAACATGAGCTTTTCTAGGGCTCTGTAAAAGAGCATTCAACTCGGTAAAAGAAGAAAATAAGTGAAAAACGAACTATTTAAAAAGCTAAAATCGGTCATAATCCTCTATATTTATTTGCAAACTCTTTTATGTTTGCAAATTTTACTCCATCCAGACAGTGTCTTGCCCACGACCAAAATCTAATAAATTAGCAAAGATTCCCAAAGGAGTAAATCATGATAATCTAATTAAAATCAAAATAACTCCAATTGGGGAAAAAGTTAAAACAATTAAATGCGGTCTGTTTAACATAAGATCGCTTTCCTCTAAAAGTCTACTAGTTAATGACTTGATTTGTGATAATCACATTGACTTGTTTTGCCTTACAGAAACCTGGCTGCAGCAAGAGGATTATGTGAGCATAAATGAGGCAACTCCTTCAAGCTATTTAAATTTTCACATCCCCTGAAGTTCTGGGCGAGGAGGAGGAGTAGCAACAATCTTCCAGTCTGACTTACTGATTACTCCCAAAACAATTAATACCTACAACTCTTTTGAACATTTAACCCTTAATTTCCCTGATCCAAATTTCAAGGCAAGAAAACCTCTTCTTTTTGTAACTTTGTATCGTCCACCAGGTCCTTACTCTGAATTTTTAGATGAGTTTTCAGAGTTCCTTTCTGATTTGGTATTAAATACTGACAGGGTCATCATAGTGGTAGACATTGAAGGCGATAGCTTAAGAGCAGCCTTTAATGCTATCTTAGACACTATTGGCTTTGTTCAAAATGTGAATAGTCCCACGCATTCTCATCTTCATACTTTGGATCTTGTGCTGACATACGGCATAGAATGTGAAGAAATAACAGTATTTCCTCACAACCCTGTCCTCTCTGACCACTTTCCAATAACCTTCAGGATTACTTTAACAGAGTTCTCCTCCCCCAAAAGAAGGTTCAATTTTAGTAGATCTTTATCAGATAGTGTAGTTATAAATTTTAAAGAATCTGCTTCACTTTCTCTCTCCTCTGTGTCACTGAGCAGTGCTGCAGAGTGCAAAAGCTTAGCTTATTCCCCTTCACAGGTTGATGATTTTGTTGATGGGGTTGCTAGTTCTCTGCGTATTGCCTTAGACAACGCAGCTCCTTTGAAAATGAAAACCGTTAAAAATAGAAAGCTTGCTCCTTGGTTTAATGCAGAGCTGCGTACTTTGAAGCAAAATGCTAGGAAACTGGAGAGAAAATATCGCTCCACAGGCCTGCGAGAGTCCTTCCTAGTCTGGAAAAATGGTTTACTGCTGTATAAGAGGACTCTTTGTAAAGCAAGAGCAGCATACTTCTCCTCATTAATAGAGGAGAATAAGAATAATCCTAGATTTCTTTTTAATACAGTTGCCAAACTCGCCCAGAGCCATAGCTCTGTTGAACCGTCCATTCCACCTGCTCTTAGCAGCAATGATTTTATGGGATTCTTTATAAATAAGATTGATCTTATTAAAAATAAGATCATAAGCACTCCTCTATCCGCGATTGTACCTGAGGTAGTCATGAAATCTGAACCGGGTTTAGACTGCTTTGATCCAGTTGAACTCTCTGAATTAGCAAAATTATTGTCTTCATCTAAGCCTTCAACTTGTATGTTAGATCCAGTTCCAACCAGGTTATTTAAGGAGGTATTCCCTTTGATCTCCTCCTCCATTTTAGATGTGATTAATCTATCTCTGTTACAGGGATATGTACCTAAAGCTTTTAAGGTTGCTGTAATTAAACCTCTGCTTAAGAAACCGTCTCTTGACCCAGATGACTTGGTCAATTATAGACCTATATCCAATCTTCCTTTCTTATCCAAAATTCTTGAGAAAGTAGTTGCCAAACAAGTTTGCGATCACTTCCACCATAATGAACTTTTTGAAGAGTTTCAGTCTGGCTTTAGAGCTCATCATAGCACTGAAACAGCTCTGGTGAAAGTCACTAATGATATTCTCATGGCCTCAGATAATGGACTTGTATCTGTGCTCGTCCTGTTGGATCTTAGTGCTGCATTTGATACAGTTGACCATAATATTCTTTTAGAAAGACTTGAATATTTTGTTGGAATTAAAGGAACAGCACTAGACTGGTTTAAATCTTATCTATCTGATCGAATTCAGTTTGTTCATGTTAATGATAGATCTTCAACACGCTCAAAGGTTACCTGTGGAGTACCACAGGGATCAGTGCTAGGACCAATTCTCTTTACTTTATACATGCTCCCAATTGGTAGAATTATTAGACAGCATGGGATTAATTTCCACTGTTACGCTGATGATACCCAGCTATATCTGTCTATAAATCCAGATGAAGCTAACCCATTACATAGATTACAGGCATGTCTTGAAGACATAAAAACCTGGATGACTCTTAACTTTCTGCTCCTGAATGCAGACAAAACAGAAGTTATAGTCTTTGGACCAGAGTCTCTGAAAAAGAAACTGATTAGCCAGTCACTTCATTTGGATGGGATTAAACTGATTTCAGATAATAAAGTAAAAAATCTTGGTGTTATTTTTGATCAGGACCTGTCATTTAAATCCCACATCAAAGAGGTTTCTAGAATTTCCTTCTTTCATCTGAGGAACATTACAAAAATTAGAAATATCCTGTCCAGGGGTGATGCTGAGAAACTAGTCCATGCATTTGTTACTTCAAGGCTGGACTATTGTAATTCTTTACTATCAGGAAGTCCACAAACTGTAGTTAAAAGCCTTCAGCTGATCCAAAATGCTGCAGTCAGAGTTCTAATGAAAATTAAAAAGAGAGATCATATCTCGCCTATCCTGGCTTCTCTTCATTGGCTTCCTGTTAAATCAAGAATAGAATTTAAAATCCTCCTTCTCACATATAAAGCCTTAAATGGCCAAGCTCCATCTTATATCAGAGATCTGATTGTTCCTTATGTTCCTAACAGAGCACTTCGCTCTCAATCTGCAGGTTTACTAATCGTTCCTAGAATTTCTAAAAGTAGAATGGGAGGCAGATCTTTTAGTTATCAGGCTCCTCTCCTGTGGAACCAACTACCAGTTTTAGTCCGTGAGGCAGACACCCTGTCTACTTTTAAGGCTAGGCTTAAAACTTTCCTTTTTGATAAAGCTTATAGTTAGGGTGGCTCAGGTTATCCTGAGCTATCTCTATAGTTATGCTGCTATAGGCTTAGACTTTTGGAGGACATAGGGACCCCCATTTCATCATTCTGCTTCTTCTCTGTTCTCCTATTCTGCAGAATCTGTTAGTTCAATCTCTAACCTTCTGCTCTCTCTGCTTTTCCTCAGAGTAGCTTTGCCTCGTCTGTTCCTGTTTGGCTGTGACGTCATCCTGGAAAGAAACATCAGCTGTGCTGCTTCTATCAACACCCTTGTTTATAGATGTTGGAGATCGGCCGGTTTTCCAGTGTGGTCCTGTTTCTCTGACCGTGACTGAGTGGATGTGCTCTCTTCGTCCTCTGGCATGGGAGCTGCCTTGGAGCTCGTCTGCCTGGCTGTGTGTTTCCTGGACGGGGCCGCCTTTTACAGCTGCTTTTTGTATCTCTGCTTCTGTCTCCTTGAACCCCAGTCGGCCTCGGCAGATGGCCGCTCACACTGAGCCTGGTTCTGCTGGAGGTTTCTTCCTGTTAAAAGGGAGTTTTTCCTCTCCACTGTCGCTACAAGCATGCTTAGTGTGGGGGATTGTATTTGAGTCAATGAGTCAATGCAATCAACTGGTTTTCCTTAGATAGAAAACTTTGTATCAATTTGACTGTATGATCTGGTTGAACTGTAAAGTGCCTTGAGATGACATGTGTTGTGAATTTGGGGCTATATAAATAAACTGAATTGAATTGAATTATGTTCTTCTCAGGAATATAATCTTTAATATTCAGGCTTTTGGGAGTCTGCTTCAGTGTTTTTCACATTTTGTCTCAATAAAAGCACAAACTAAAAAGGTTTTTTTTCTGTACAACTTCATTAACGAGCCATTTTTTGGTGTTGCTGGGTCCTCATGACCTGTTTGTTCTCTTATGTTCCCAAAGAACCTCTTAAAGTTTTTAGGAAATAACATGGCCTGGCTCTGAATAACAAATTGGTGATTTCTAAAGAAAGACGGTTGCCCAGGATTTCATTTAGTGGTTTTGTTGAGTCTTTGTGCCCGAGTCGAACAGAGTGACTGAAGCACATGGTCTTGACTGCTTGTGGGATCAGGCGTGCCTGCAATAAATGAAGGAAATTTATCATTGAATGGAAACTCATTCCCTTTGAAAGGAAAAAGGCCCAAAACTATTAATTTGTACCAGTAGTTTTTTTACTGCTTAGGTTTCCTCTAAATACTGGTTGGTTTAAGCAAAATAGCCCCTGGTTAAAAAAATATAACCACGAACAAGTGTTGTTTTGCTAGTATCAATCTTGATCACCTTGTATTCATATTCATTTTATTAAAAATCTCTCTTTTAGCTGTCAAGTTGTGTTAGTAAGACATGCTGGCCCACGTCCTAGGCCAGGAGGAGAGCACAGCCATTGGCTTTCTGTTTTCATCATGTTGAATGTGACAGGAAGTTGGTTGTGATCCGAGCTGAGACAAAAAATGTTAAAACATGATCTGATTATATTCCTGCTGAATGGTCATGACTGCACTGTAACAATAAAACATGTTTAATTTTACTTCTTCTGTTTAGGAGCAAGAGGACCCCAACAAGCTGGCCACCAGCTGGCCTGACTACTACATTGACCGCATTAACTCCATGGCGGCTGTAAGTTAAACTTGTTTATGTACTTCTTTAAAAGTTTTATTGCCTCTTTGTTAGTTCCCATGAGTGAATTCCCATGCAAATTCCCACCTAAATCAGACACTAAAATTAACAGAACATCTCCATGCCATCCCCTATAGGTTAAGATGTTAAATATGAATGTATGTATGTATGTATAAATATGTATGTGTGTATATATATATATATATATATATATATATATATATATATATATATATATATATATATATATATATATATATATATATATATATATATATATATATATCTATCTGTGGCTAGATTAAATAAATTTTAGATTTCTATTTGGAACTTGCCTAAGCCAAGTTATCGCTGCACTCTCAGCCATTCTTTCTCAGGCATCTCTAAGGGCAAATTTTTCATCATGTCCCTACTGACTTGCTGGTTATGCTCACATGATCACATTCCTTCTCTTTGACCCATACATTCACACACACACTGTGATGACAAACAGGCCTTTTAGATACTCAGCAGTTCACTCAGAGGGAATAACTGTCAGCGACCCGGAGCCAAAATGACCATATTCATTATTTTTTAACCAGTAAAACTGTCAGTGAAAACAGCTTGACACCATCACTAACTTATCTTCTGCTGTGAGTTCACTGTCATTTAACCTGCATCCTTAGGGGACGTTGTATTATTTGATTCTGTGGACCACTAGCTAATTTTTTTTGTAACTGATCTTTGACCTTAGTTGTTATTCAGACAAGTTGGCTTAAGAAATGTTTGAGAATCACAAAAATATATTTTACAAGGCCAGTGTGTAATCATTGAGCTTTTAAGGAAATACTATTTTAATCACATTTCTAATGCAACCTACTAAGCTTTTTTGTTTCTTTGTTGGTCTTTCAGTTACAAATCTGCTTAACTTTTCTGTTATGTTTAAGACTTTTTTTTTTTTGCATAAGCTCTATCAAACTCACCCAATGAGAAACTGAAAGGTATTTGAGTCATCCTGGCATATTATCTTTTTGTTGGCTTCTTCTTGGTAAATGTTGTCATCACTGGAGATGAGTCCTGCTTCTCTTATATCCAGCCACTCTCATTCTGCTGCTAATTAATCCATCTCCATGTTGTGCATGAGCTCTGGAAAACGTTTGCCATCATTTAGAGCTTTGAGTAGTTTCTCCATATCTTTAACTTGCACCTTTGCAATAAAACTAAAAGTACTCTTATCAAAAACTGTTGTTTTTTCCTGTTTTCCGCCTCTTGCATTTAGCCAACTTGTTCCTACTTCACTTAAAATGTGTCATGAATTTAATTGATGAACGCAAACATGAAACAGTGACAAATATAAGCAAATGCAAAATAAATCTGTACGAGGAAACACACCTTTTCAGAACATGCATTTTATTGTTAGACACATTCTTTGGAAAATGCTTGTCTTTAATTTAGCATTTTCATTTTTGTTACTTACTTCACTTTGCATAGATGAATGAGAATGCTACATAATGATAATTTGCTCCACCCTAACCCTACCAAAATCCCGGAGAACAGGTTTTACTGTCTGGTTCGGAGAATCCCCAAACTTGTACAAATGTTGTCTCACTGTTGGTTGCACTCAGAGGAATCTCTAAATTATAAAATGGCAGGAGCTGAAAACTTTCTGTGTTATACGGTTTCAGACACACAACCATCAAACACAGTGTCAGAGTTAGTATTTTAGACTTTCCTGCTGCAAAACTGCAAAGCCTGCTATATTTTACATGGAATTTATTTATGGCTGATATTATTAAAACTAACTTTTTCATCCATCAATATGCTCATTCCTCAAGTAGAAACATTCTAGTTTCACCTTGTCGAATTTAGTGAAAAATCTTCTCTAAAGAACCTTTGGCTGTCCAAAATTGATTTACAAAATAATCATTAGTTGCATCCCTATAATTCCTAACGCCGGTGCCTCATTTTTTCGCTAATTGTTTCTATTTGATTAGTGTAACTAACTTCAGGTCACTATTATTACCTTGAAAGACACAAAAAAAAGTAACCTGTTTGATTTGGAAACACTCAAATCAATTTAAATCAAACAATCTTTGACCAAAATAAATTAAAGTCGAATATATTTCTTAAGAAAGGTTAAATCATTAAAAATCCAGTTATTTTAATGCCACACAAATTACATAGAGTGTAACAGTGTCAGTATAAATAACTACTCCATTATCAAGAGGAGGATATGGGCATTTGGAAACATGATTGCTTAAGTAATTATTCTCCATTTCCTTATTTTAAGTCCTTCTTTGTTCTTTGCTTTGGGCTTCTGACTGCATCCACATGGCAGATCCATGATTTCATGTCTTGGCTTGCAATCAGCTCACCAGGGAAGGAACTTCTACAGTAGCTGAGTTATTGGATGATCTCACTTTGGCTCCGTCCGTCTGAGGAATTGCCTTATGACAAACATCTTGACATTCATTCATAAAGTCATGTCAGAGCTCAGAGGTTGCTTACTGGCCACACGGTTATAACTCAAACGTATTTGTGACTCTAACTGTAGTTACTCTAGTTCTGCTGTTTCTAGCCTGCTGATGGGTAAGATCACTCCTGAAGTGGGGCTGAAAGAAAATATTAAGTGTCACCTGGGATAAGACAAATAATTCAGCTATGAAATGGCAGGAACTTAATGAACCCAAACTGGAGACTAAATTCCATTAGGAATCTCATGATTTATTGTCTAGGAAATCCTCTGCATAATGCAAGATTTCAGCTCTATTTACTGTTATCCTTTTGCCATTAAAACAACCAATCTTTATTTACATGCTGTTTTTTTGTTTATATCCATACTACATGGCTTTGTTTGGACCATGATTACCAAAAAAAGGTTTAATTAATAGTCAGTTGTTTGGTTTGAGAAATCTTCCTTTTACTCTTTGTCTTTTTTTTTTTTTTTATGGATTAACAACTATACTAAGGATCTCAGATAAATGCGTGGAATGGTGGCGTGGTGTTTAGAGAGCAGGGTATTTGCATTCTAGAAAGGCCACAAAGGTTGTTGGTTTAAAGCTCAGGCTATTATTTTGGGCCCCTGTGCAGGACCCTTAACCCCAAAATTCTGCCTGGTGCCAATCAGTGTGCAAAGCTGCTCCCCAAGGGAAGGGGTTAAACATAGTGGTCACATTTCTCCACTATTTTACAATTCTGTGTGTTAAATTTTGATTAAAATTATTGAACAATGTCAAAGTTCCCTTTATAAAACTCCTGTCTTAGCTCATTGCCTAGTAACAATACTTTCTAAATTTAAACAAAATTCAATTATTTGTTTAAAGTGAATATACATCCCGTTTGCGTTTGCATCAGTAGTTGCACAAGTTATGATCCACAAACAAATAAAATGCCTTAAATCTGCAACCGAGATATGATTGATCTTAAAAAACCAGCATCCTAAAGGCTGATTTTTACTGGTGCACAAGAAAACTGGGACCCTTTTTCCACCTGGATCCCTGTTCTTTTTTGCCCTCATGTCCCTCTGTTGACGCACAAACTTGCGTACCTCACCACTTCCTCACCGCCTCGGCCGTATCTAGACCCACAGCTATTTCACAGCTAGTTCCTGATTGTCCCTTTTGTATTTTGGCGTGGAATAACATAGTGCAGACAACGCTTCAATATTGGGCATAAATCAAAAATATCTGCGACAAGCTCACTGCGAGACGCTGCTGCTGGGAGTATAACCAGCCCTTAACTGAAATGTCAGTGGTAACTGAAACTGTTCTCTTGGATTCCTAATAGCAGGTCAATCTAAACGTGATACAAACCAAAAAATGAATGTATATATTCTTAAACTGAGTATGGCCCAAATAATAGCACTGCAACTAAAACCAACATTTAAAAATGGCTTTTAAGCCAATCACTGCTTAGCTTCTCCCTTAAAAGGAATTCAGATATTTCAACATTTTTACTTGTGTGATTAGCTTCATATTTTCTCTATTATATTTTTTAAAACATGCATCGTATATTTAAACTATCTTATTAACATGCACTCAAAAGACTAGTGGGGTCCAAATTTGGTTTCAAAAGGGCACCAACGAGGGTAACAGTGGAGCAATGACCAACTCAAAGGCAAAGCTCAGTTCTGGGCTCCATTACCTATAATTAGAACTCATGGAAGTACTGTCTGATGGTTTACCAACAGGCTGTAATGGCATCCTTCTGTGAATGTGGGCCACAGGTATGAATGAGCTTACCAACAGACGATGTAATACGGAGGCTTTTGGCTAGACTGTCAGATATGTAGAGCTGGCTCAGAGAAATGCCTCTTTAGGGTTTCGGTTTGTCTGCAGTTAAGAGTAAATCAACTTGATAAATGTTTTGACAGACCAATTTTAAACAGAGCATTGGTCCTACTGTACAAAATAAAGATGCTTTTAAGTAGTCAAACATACAGTTAGTATAGTTAATAGTGTTTAGTTTACTTTAATAGATAATAAGTTCTTGCTTTAGAGTTACAGGACCCAACTTCAACCTGTATCCTTGTTTAAGAACCGGAAAAGAGGACATCTTTTTCACAGTCTGTAGTGTTATGACAAGCTGACTCCAATACTGAAAACAAACACAGTTTGACCGCTTTGGCAGTGAGCAGCCATGGAAAAAGCCCTGCGAGGCTGAACAGAAGCCATGAACTATGGGAGAACTGCAGCACTTTGATGTTACTGACAAAACCTTTTAACTAATGCAGATTCATTAACACAAACGCTGATTTTAGTGTTTTTTTTTCTTTTGTTATCTTTGCTATTTATTGTAAGCTTGATTAGAGCTAATGATCTATATAGCTTCTTTTAGCAAGTTGTTTAGTTTCACTTAAAAGAAAAGTCACTAGAACAAGGAAGATTAGTAGGCCAGGCATACACTGTGTGAGTTTTCTTTTTCAATCGTTGCACGCAACTACAGCTCAAAACTGCAGTTCATGCATGTTCTCACAATATGCGACCCGACGCTTTGATGCGATCTACCTGCTCACACCCTACGTCTAAAACTCAGACATAATCTCAGCTCTGCAGTGAGATGGCGCTACTCGGACTGGTCTATCCGAAAGCCAAACGAGGAATATGAAGCTCAGTAGTGTGAAACGTGCTGCCTCTGCAATTTGTGCAATTTTGTGCTGAAAGCCTTAAAAAGAAAAGGCGACGACGTATTTTGACAAAGACATGGCTGAGCAAACGTGGCTACTAAGGTCTGTCAATTTTACAGAAAGCATCCCGCCATGCTTCTGTTTTTTTCATCTGAGAGGATTTTTTTTTATTTATTTTTTTTTATTTAACCTTTATTTAACCAGGAAGTCCCATTGAGATTCAGAATCTCTTTTTCAAGAAAGACCTGGCCAAGGTAGCAGCCAAACCACAAGGAGTTTATACATATTTACAACATATTACATTTTGCAAAATAAAAAATAAAGAATAAAAAAAAAAACATAAAAAAATAAAATCAGAGCAGTATGTTAAAACACAATTGAGCATCTCAAGAAAAACAAGCGCATATCTCCATCACTACATTCTTCATGGTTGCTTTAAAATCATTAATGTACACAAGAGTTTCTAATTTGAGCTCTTTCTGGAGGTTATTCCATCCCCAAGGTGCAGAGTAGGAGAATGCAGTTTTTCCCCAACTCAGTTGAAGCTTGGGGTACATTAAAAAGTAACCACTGAGAGGAGCGCAACTGATAACTACCAGAACTCACAGAGAGGAGGTTACAGAGGTACAGTGGGAGTTTACCAAGTATTGCTTTATAGATAAAGATATACCAGTGCTGTTTTCTACGAATTGTTAGTGATGTCCAACCAACTAGATCATAAAGAATGCAAAGACGGTAGAAGAAGAAGAACCCTTGTTTGCCCACTGAGCGATTTGCCCATGATGGCCGACTGAAAGTCAAACATGTTTGATTTTCTCCCGCCCTCACTATTCCTGATCAGGAGGTGGTCGTGAGAGGCTGATCGGCCCTTGTTACACTAAACGACACACGATCAGGCTTAAAGTCGGCCTGATCCAAAACTTCTCACACGACTGGAAAGTCTTCCCGAAAAGGGCAAAAAATTGCACAGTGTATGTCGGGCTTCACAGGATTGTAGATTTTGGCTTCAAGATTCTAAAATATCACAAGATTTCTGGTCAAAGGTAAATCTGTTTCATTAAACGCCTTCAAGTTACCATGATGTCTAAGCTATTATTATTGGCCCTGGGTGTTTCGGTTAAAACATCACAGCCTGTATCGTTGTTTAGCATTAATAATTTAAAGGAAGATATGAAATAGTTCTTTGCCTTTTGTGGTGACAGATTGAGCTAACAAAGACTCCTCAGCATTCTGACAGATGAGATGCTTTTACAAAAAATAACTCCTGCCCCAAATCATTTTTGTGGTTGGATTTTGGTACAGAAGAGGGAAAAATTATGGTACTTCTGCTTTATAGCTTCCAAACTTTAAGAGATTCTTGACTTTTTCTTGACTGCATTTTATTAGTTCTAGTTCAAAATTTAAAAAGCCAACAGAATGACCACATCTGTAATCAATAGTTCTGCACAGAACAAAGGTATTTTTTAAAGCATCTCAAGAATTAGAGCCCTTGCTGGCCTGTTCAGAATCATGTAGATATTCTGTGTTTGTACCTACTAACGGCACGTAATGGGAGTCCTTGCAGAAAAAAAACAACAGATTTCAGAAGAAAAAAAATTCAAAGTTTTAAAGCTTTTTGAAAACACTTTGTGGCATATCCCTGTAGACTGCAGTTTGGTTTGGATCTCCTGTAAAGCCACTATTTACCTCCACATTGATCTAAATTTTCTATTTTTACAGATGCAGACATTGTTTGCCTTTGATGAGGAGGAAATGGAAATGAGGAACAAGGTGGTGGAAGACCTGAAGACGGCACTCAGGACTCAGCCAATGAGGTAAGTCCTCAGCCTCTGGTGTTTTCCTGGGCTGCAGAGAGCTCAGAGCTCCGCTGTGCATGGCTCTCATTCAAGTCATGCATTCCTACCATTTGACTTGCTGAGGTAATATCCCACAAGCTAATTACAGCTAATAATGTAACATACTACTGGAAAGATTTGCTTTGCTATAATAGCACCTCTTGTCATTTAGAGTTATCCCACTTAATTACTTCCAACTGAAATACAACCAATTAGAAGTATTTTTAGCATCGTGGTTTAACTTTTTCCTCTCCTGACATGGTCATCGACAGCTGTTAGGCCTCACACTTCAACAAAAAAGAGCCATTCGAGGACATGGTACTTCCCAGTAATACTGCTGTCCTCCTCCACCGTCTGCAGCCCCTTAACAGCCATCCATCAGGCACTCATAAGATGTGGTGGTCTAAACCAAAGCGGCGCTGTTGAGGTTTTCCATGGGGACGTATAAAGTGACAAACTGATTCTACAAAGCGACAAAAACTCAGTGGAGCTTTGTAGTCTGGGTCATGTCTCAGTTTTGTGTTTGTAGGTTAAGGGTTTATAAGCCTGCTTAGATTTGTGCTCCAACAGCATGTAGACCTATTTGCCTTTTATGTCGTACTCCTTGCGATTATTTTTAACTGTGGATCTCAGGTTGTCAAACTCATTTCTTCAAGAGGAAGTATTCTAAACTCCTATTCTGATCTCTTGTCCACACATGTACCCCTAACTCCAGCAGATAAATTACCACATTTCACCTCGGATCTCTCTCCTTTTTATTTGACTCCTTTGTCTCCGTTTAATTTTGTATATCTCCTTTCAACTTTTCTCTCCCTGCTTTGCAGTTATTTCCAGTTTTCTCGCTATGTGCAGGTAATGAGAAGCAGCCATGCTGACGTGGCTGCATGCTCTGCACATGTGTCTGCATGGGTTGTTTGTTTACCAGCCTAATGAAATAACTGGCGACAGATGCTGGGAAATGATCAACCGTCTTTTATCTAAAAATGTTATTAAATCAGCCTGTTTGTCATCTAAACAGTCAATCTTTCTCTTCAACCATTTTATGTTCCGCTCTGCTGAATGAGGAAGCTTAGAGATTGACTGTTTGGGATATTGAAGTCAGAATTTTCTTCTTTTTTAAGGCTATGCATGTAAACTAGGGCTGCAACAACGAATCGATAAAATCGATAAAAATCGACTTTTAAAAGCGTTGGCAACGAATTTCATCATCGATTAGTTGTGTTGCGCGATTATTGCGTCGTCCGCCGCGCCGTCATCACTGCCTCTTGACTGAAAGAGGAAGAAAAAAAAATATGGCAGAGCGAGTCAGCGCCGCAGGTGCAGTGTTGCCAACTCAGCGACTTTTCAGACCCATCCAGCGACTATTTTTCAAAAAAGCGACTAGCGACAAATCTGGCGACTTTTTTCGGTTTCACTGGCGGCTTTTGGAGACTCTTACGTGAAAGCATGTATCGTTCCTACTCTGCCGTGGGGCGCCTCCCCCCACTCCCGCAGGAGTCCCTCTCAGCGCTGCAGTCAGAGCCTCAGCGTCCAGACTGCAAATGAAGCGCGCATGCACCGGGATTGACGGCGCAAATTGATCACAATAATTAAAATAGCCTGCGCTTTGTAAAGTGAAAAAAGTGATAACATGCAACTTTTTTCAAAAGAAATTAACATGGCACGGAACCACCATGTTTGTTTGGTTTTAAAGTGGGGAAACGTTACGTTAGTTTCTCAGGTAGCTCATCTGATGCTTTCCTTACCGTGTTAGTAGGTTACAGACAGTGATAAGGCTACTTATTTTACTTTTAATTTCATTTGAATTAGCTTAAGCAGCGTTTACATTTACTTTATAAATAAATTAACTTGCAAATTATGAGGGCAAGGCTTTTAAAGTTTAAATCTTCTGGCGAAGATAAAGTAAAGAAGATCCTGCAATTTATGGAAGTAAAGCAGAATAAAATCCAGCAAGATCAGTAATATGTCAATTAATTATATGCCACATTCCCATGTAAATTGGAGTCTTTGGAGGATGTGTTCTTTAACACCCCTAGTTCTCTCATTTTTATTCCAAATACAATTTATAATTTGAATCACAGGGCTATTTTTATCTCTATGGTTCAGTATTTTCTCAAGTAGTAACTTTAACTGCTATACTTTCCTGTCTTAAAAGGCAGAACTCTTCTAGTCTAAAAAAACTCATTTGTTGAAATGGGGGGGCCTATTGTTTGAACCCCTTAGGGGCTTTTAAAAACAAAAATGTCTTTTTTTGCGCTTTATGAAACAAAGTAGCCTATATTTTGTGGATGTACAGCTACATTTCTCATGTAAGTTTGCGTAGTTTTAACACAAACATTTATTTTTCATATTGCACCAGTACAGTTAATGAGCAACCTGTACTTGTGTGCTTGTTTGTTCTGTCTAAAATGTTTATTTTGGAATAAAGAGGTTAATATAAAATATATTTTTTGTCCGATTCATCGATTATTCGAAAAAATTATCGTCCGATTCATCGATTTTTAAAATAATCGTTAGTTGCAGCCCTAATGTAAACTAATGTTTGCACATTTTATATCATTCAAAAATGTAGGTTTTAGTTTGAGAACCAAGAGAAAATTGATTAATGAAAAGATGATATCTATTAATGAATCAAAGCAAATGTTCCTTAACCTAATTTATAGTAGAGCGAAGAACATGTAAGGTTTGTGTTTGATGCTTGCTGACAAAATAGTTAAAGATTTTCATTTAGATTATTTAATGAATAAGAAGGAAAACTGTTTCAATGATGGGTCCAGGAAAGATTCACCAGTTAATGTTAATAAATAACTATAAAGCTCTTATTTTTGTATTTGATCCCAACTAGCCTTTAAAAATAGTTTTTAGAATAAAATTCAAATTTTCATTTGGCAAATCCATTGTTACCCGAAATAATGTTGTAACCAGACATGGAGCTTCGGGGGGGAGGGGCATCCAACCCCATGAAATCTGATTGGTTCTCTGTCTACATTCAGCATTTCAGCCAATTATAAACTCAACTAACTCTACTTCCCCCGCTGACATATGTCGAGTTGTCTTTAAGGTTTAATTTTTGTTTATAAATGGAAAATTAAAAACACAAATCTTATCCCCTTTGTGCCCAATATGCACTTGAATGTATGTAATGTTTAGAAATTCCAATTGCAAAGAAAAAAAAACTGTCTGTAAACAGAACAAATACATAAATGCATGAAGTGGTGTTAAAATCAAATGTAAAGAAATTAGTCAACTGCTCAGTTGTGGCCATCATTTTTTACACTAAAGATAGGTTGAATTTAAAAGTTTAAAATTGTCCTCAATTGAGTGGAGTTTCTAGCTAGGTAATGGCTTGGTCACAGTATTTTAGACAACTGGCTGAAGCTATCTGGTTAACTGGCTAATGCTCTGTAGGGGCTACTCTATTGTCATGACATAAGCCTCATTGTAGTGGTTTAATTTACTGTCTCCAGACTCAAACCGTATTAAGAGACACTTTATTTAAGAAAATGACTTTAATAGGGCTTCAGCAGACTTACCTCCTGCAGAATTTCAGGCGGTTTGATGGTTTTCTTGGAGCAGAGTAACACGTTAGCTCCTAAACACTTGACCAAACTTCAGTATATTGTCACAACTTAACCTCCCTTGTCAAATAAATGTATAGTTTGATAAATTATACATTTAGTTGGCAACAATTTGGTTGCAATCATAGGCTACGTTCACAATGCAGGTCTTAATGCTCTATTCCGAATTATTTTGTTTTTGCGTTGTTGTTCCAAATATATGCAACTTGCATGCGTAATAGAGGACGTAATGACATCACAAGCAAGCGTGATCTGTATTCACGGAAGTAAAAATGGGTGGTAGTGCTGGAGCTCATCTAGCTCCAACCTTAAAAACTCAATCTTTTTAAGATAGTTAAAAAAAATACTACTCTCCACATTATCATCCACCATCGTCTTTGTTTTTCTGTCAACTTCTGCGTAGCAGGACGAAAAATAGTGACCTTTGTTAATTATTAATAGTGTTCAGGTCGGATGAATGCCACCTGGCTGTTCAAACGATTGTTGAAAAGATAAGATTCGTATCGGATTCAGGACCACATAGCCAAGGGACCTAGGTTGCATTGGAAAAAATCAAATGTGCAGTAAAAAAAAGATAAAATACAGGTCGCATATGTGCAAAAAAACTGGATTTGGGTCACTTCAGGCTGCAGTGTGAACGTAGCCTTAGTCATGACTGCTGTCAGTTTTCATGCAACCATGAAGGTTACCAATTTTGGTAATAGAATAATATTGAAAAGCTGCTTCACTTTTATTCCAACCTCTGTGGTCTGATGCATTTCATTTAGCATAGCTTAAACAGTTAGCCATAAAACATGGCAGGTTTATGATCAAAACAATTCTAATTAAAATAAGTACACTTTTAGACATTTTATACAACTGCACAGACAGATATTATAAAACACTTTTCTTAAGACCGACACTAACAAAATAAATATAGATCTGATCTGTCAGATTTACCATATAGAACCATTTGAATATAGGACTGTCTTTAAACTCAAAACTAAGGGCCGATACTTTTGACAAGTTTACAATTTAACATTTGCTCCTTTGGGGAGTTTGGGAAGTAACTGTATTTGTATGATTATAAAATAAAGAGAGGCAAACATCGGCTGCAATAACACAATCTAAATGTGATTATGATGGAGTTTTTTCCAGCATCTTGCTCCCGTTCCCGTGTATCCTTCATGGGTTTTCTAGTATTTTATTCAGATAATTTACCTCATCAGACTTGAATGGCTCAATGAATGCTCATTAGAGGTGCACCTGCACCAGAGCTGTTCTTCTCAGGATGAGTTATGGCCCATTAACCAGCAGATGTTTCTTCCTACCGTAAACTTAATGTGGGTTCCAGGTGTGCCCCCCAGAATATGGGTGTCCAGGGGAATAACGGGGCAGTGAGTTAATATCCCGCCTTTGTCA